TTTAAAACCTAATAAATAATAAGAGTTTACCTCGTCTTTGAGAGCGTATTGCAGCGCTGAGGGGAAGTGTGTTGTGTTCACTCTGCAGTAATAGTTGACGTTGGCTCCGAACCTCAGCAACAGGTTGATCAACTCATAGTTGCCCAAACGCAGAGCAACCTTAAAGACACAGTCACCGGATCAGCAACGGGGAACAACAGCATCATTGGTGTTACTAACTAACAGCATATTCATCCGCCCAAAACTTCTGTGCTGCCTCTCCGGCCAAATATTTCTGTAAACCTGGCAACCTCACTGTGACGACAAGACTTAATAAAGCTGTTGACTGTCAAGAAATAGTCCCAGAGCCTTAATCCTACCAACTGTCCTGTTTGTGTGCAGAGTAAACAAACAATAATGAGCTTTAGAGGAGTAGTTGTGTTTCTGTTGAACTATTTCTTGGAGTATTAAGTTGTTTTTATTGCTGGTATATAAAGAAAATTCACTATTTTTTGTTAATAATTTTACATTAACTGTAACTTCAGTCTCTCAGTTACCTGCAGACATTTGATTGGGTCTTGGTTGGCCATGGCCCCGTTCTCCAGCAGCAGTTTGGCTGACGGTATGTCGTTATTGCAGACGGCGAAGAAGAGTGCCGACTTCCTCTCGTCGTCATAGCTACGGCGAACCCCGGGATGGAGCATGTAGTTGGGGTCATAACCTGCATCCAGCAATTCCTGATGGGAGTTTGGGGAAGAGGGACAATCAGTTACTGTTGAACTGTTGTGTGTTTAACAGACAACTGAAAGTCTTAAAAATATATAGTTATTGTACATTTTCTGGTTCCAGCTTCTCAGGTGTGAAGATTTTATAATTTTGTTTGTCATATGTGGCTGTAAACAAACCAACTATGAATCTGTATCTGAATTTATGCCGTCATGGAAGAAGTACTGAGATCTTTTACTTCAGTAAAAGTAGCAGGTCCAGTGTGTAACATTTAGGAGGCTCTATTGGCAGAAAGTGAACCATTTTTGTTCCACCTCTCATCATGGCTGATAACACACACACACACACACAGTAACACACACAGTAACACACACACACA